GGGTCAAATATTTGCGCAGTTTCAGCTAAAATCTGCCTTTTAGTGATTCTTGTTTGAGGTAATTCTCTAATTGTAAATGTTAATTTGTCCGGCACTACTTGCCAAGCTACGCCTAGTGTTTTAGTTTTTCCATTGTCATTGAAGTCTATACTGTTTAGATTCTTGTTTTCTTTTGGAATATCCTGAATTAACGTATGCTCATTAGATGCCCACTTTCGTAGTTGAAAACCGGCGGTCTCTAAAACCTGTGACACCTTTTGCCGCACATCTATAACTTGCTCGATTGTGTTCGTTCCTGTTAGCAAATCGTCAATATAGAAATCTCTGCGAATGACCTTGGATACTTCTGGCATTTGTTCCTTGATATGGTTAGCTAATTCTAACAAGCATCTTGTAGCTAAAAAAGGGGCAGATGCGGTGCCATACGTGAGCGTATTTAGTTCAAAGGTCTGTATTGGATCTGTGTCCTTAGATTGCCATAGAATTCGCTGCAGTGAGCGTTGCTCTGGATTTACTAGCACTTGCCTGTACATTTTGTGTACGTCTGCTGATATGACGAAAGGGTGAGTTCTAAATCTGACGAGCAAGGCAAATAGATCTTCTTGAATCGTCGGGCCTATCATCTGCAATCCATTTAGTGAAATTCCATTACTAGTTGCCGCTGAAGCGTCGAAAACTACTCGTAACCTTGTAGTCGAGCTGTCAGCCTTAATGACGCAATGATGCGGCATGTAATAGGTTGTTTGCTGTCCTAATTCTTCAGATATCTTACTCATATGCTCAAGCTCTTCATATTCCGATAGAAATGTTATGTATTGTTTTCTAAGCATAGGATTTGCGTTTAGCCTTTTTTCAAGAGTTATAAAACGCTTGTGAGCTATTGTTTTGGATTCACCAAGTTTGCTGGTGTGCTCCTTGAATGGAATAGTCACAACGAATCTGCCATCTTTGTTGCGATATGTATTTTTTGAGAAATAAATCTCACATTCTTTTTCTTCGTCGGATAGTACCCTGCTATCTTTGATTTCTTCGATTTCCCAAAATCTTGCTAGGCTCCTTTCAATGTCAACTGCCCTGCTCAGATTACATTTGATTGAGTGTGTAATGCCCTTCCAAGGGCCCGCAGCTACCCATCCTAATTTAGTTTTCTGCATAGTAAGTTGGTTTTGTCCGATTTTTAATTGTCCAACGCACAGAAGATCCCAAAAACAATCAGCTCCTAAAAGAATATCCACTCTGCTAGGAATATAGAATGACGGATCGGCGAGTCTGATGTTGTTCGGGATTTGAAGATCTTGAATCTTGATGTGTTGAGCTGGCAGATGACCTGTGATCTCTGGAATTACTAGGCATTGAATATTAAACTGAAAGTCGTTGTATTGAGATAGTATTTTGACATTGCACTTATGTTGGATCGCAGACGACATGCCATTGATGGCTTCAATTGTCATATTGATCTTTGACGTGGATAATCGTAACTGATTACAAAGATTAGTAGTGATGAGATTGGGATTGAGAACCTGGATCCAATATAGCGCGAGCCTTATGCTTTCGCCCATGATTGTCATTTATTAATACTACTGCAGTTGCTAATACAACATTATTTGATTTATACTGGTTAGTTGAATGCAAAACTGATGAATTTTGAGTCTCTTGACCAGAATGCTCCTGGGCTGACGACATCCTTTCAAAATGTAGTAGAGTATTGTGCTTCCCTGAGCATTGTTTGCATGAACCTCCTTTGCAATCCCTTAAAAAGCCCAGGTTTCATACAGTTGAGACATAACTTCGCATTCTTTACTTGATTTACTCTTTTTTGGGGAGAAAGCTCAAGAAATTTTGCGCAAGTCGTTAATTTGTGAGTTTCATTACACATTATGCACCTTTGCCTTTGTATGAGTAGCAATTTTACCTTAGCTCTATCTGTGTGCTTTGACTTAGTGAGAGACTTGTCATTTAATTCTAAAGTTTCTAGTAAATCTGCACGTGAATTCAAAAATGACTTAAAGTCATCTAATGTGGGAATTTCACTTCCTGCGCGTTCCTTTTCCCACGCTCGAGCAGTGACACTATCTAATTTTGTTGATATTAGGTAAATTAATAAGGCATCCCAATGTTTTGTTGCTTGATCTAACGCGTTTAGAGCCCGTAAATGCTTACTGAGAGTATCAACTACTTCGCGAATCTGCGCAGCTGATTCTTCCTTTATTGAAACAATGTTAAAAATGGCCTTAATGTGATTATGTGCTAATAATCGTTTGTTATTAAATCGATTACATATTGTTTTCCATGCCACTGTGTAATTCACGGCTGTAAACTCTAAAGACTTAATAATTTGCAATGCATTGCCTTCTAACGCTGCCTTTAAATAATGAAACCGTTGTATGGGAGTAATCGTCTCATTTTTGTGTATTAGTGATTCAAACGTGTCCCTAAAACTAAGCCATTCTGCTGCTTCGCCACTAAATTTAGGTAGTTCAATTGTTGGTAGCCTAATACCAGTAGTTTTGTATATAACACCTTGATTTGATTGCGCCGCAATACCCGGTAAATAGTTGACTGAATTATCATCATTTACTATTTGCGAATGTACGCCATGAGTTTCATTAATTGCAGCCTCAAATCGCGTTGTATCCGAATTTACTTCTTTCATGCCGCGCATACGCAAGGACTCTGCTTGAGCTATTGTAAGAAAATACTCCTCATCCAGCCTCTCGCGATACTCTAATGCTTCTTGTTCATTATCCGTCAAAGCTTCTATCTCGACTTGTATTTGCTCAAATTTTTCATAGGCTTCCCGTATACGAAAAACACGCTCACGAATTTCTAACCTCGTTAGTTCACTTAAGGGTGCACGCGAGTCCGGATATGCTGCCATCGTTTTTGTAAGATATGTTTTGAACGATGTTATCTTACTCTTTACAATACCTCGAGATCTAATTAATGCCTCCATAATTTTCTCAAAATATAACGGACAGGAAGTTGTGACAGAGTTAGGTTAGTGAATAAGAGGAATTGCTCACTTTCTTACTTGGTTAAGAGTTGTCTCGTCCTGCCGTGTGCGTATAGATGGCGAAGTCGTCCAGCTTCAAACTGTGATTGGTGCCCCTTCGTCTCATGCGATGCGGCCTTGCTATTACGATCCTCTTCTATGATTGACAGCTTGTCTATATCTCCGATCCAAGATGGCGCGTCTTCGTTCGCCGATGTCCTTGTCACACCACCGTGACCTCGATGTGCGCAACGTCGGCAAATTAATGTTGCTGTACCTTCTTTAATCTGCCGATCAGTCGCGTCGATACTCACGACTTGATGTTCTCAACTTGAATACTTGTCTGCCGAGCCAACGATCTCTATCGATGCGATTGCTCGGGCACACGTGCCTATGGTCTCCTCGTTTTGCCGACTGCGTATTGAGTAACCGCTTGCACTGAACGACTCTTTTAGAGGTCCCGATTGTTCCTCTCTTCCTTTACCGAATTCCGAATGATCCGGCTCGAAGAACCATGTTCATGAAACTTTCAAATTATTGATGTGTTTCACTATGCTGGGTTTCACTTTTTTGTCTTAGCGTACACGTCTCTTCTCTTCAGTGTCGCCATATCTTCCTCGCTCGCGCCCTCCTTGCCTTAAGCGGCGATCCCCAAAATATATATATATGAGGGCGCTTCTAACTAAAGTAACAGTAATTTTATGCTAACGAAAACTAGACACAATGCTTTTTATGGATGCACAAAATGTAAACAAAAAGGAATTAGAATAGAAAATAGAACGAGTTTTCCTTTAGTAAATTGTGATCTGAGAAATGATGAAGAATTTCTTCAGCAGTCTCACACTCAGTATCATAAAGATACTACTATTTTGGGTGAAATTCTAGGGCTTGGTCTTGTATCTTGTTTCGTACTAGGTTACATGCATCTTGTCTGTTTAGGGATAATGAAGAAATTGCTTCTTTTTCTCTTATTTGATCATCGTAAAGTCAAAATTAGCTCCAAACTAATAAATGAAATATCTCAACATTTAATAAGTTTAAAGAAAAATATTCCAGTTAAATTCACTAGAAAACCTCGATCTTTAGAATTTGTTCGTAGATATAAGGCAACTGAATTCAGATTAATTCTTCTTTACTTAGGACCTATTATATTCCGTCGCCTGAACAAAGACATCTATAATAATTTTTTATCATTGCATGTAGCGATTCGCATATTAGCTAGCCCGAATCTATGTATGAATTTTAATAATTATGCTCATCAACTTCTTTTACACTTTGTAGAAAGTTTCAAGTTATTGTATGGTGAAGCATACGTTAGTCATAATATCCACGGGTTAACTCATTTAGCACAGGATGTTTTAAAATTTGGTCATTTAGATAATTTTGGTGCTTTTAAATTCGAAAATTTCATGCAAACTTTTAAACATTTTATTAGGAAGGGTGAAAAACCTTTACAACAGATAGCACGACCATATTCCGAATATAATATCCATAAAAAAGAGACTCAGGTTTCAAAAATTAGCTTTAAAAGGTAATCACACAGATGGGCCTTTAGTCAATAATTGCTGTTCTCCTTAATTTAAATCTCTTTCCTTACCTTGTGGTATATCATTTAACGTATCAAAAAGAAGCTGATTCCATTTGTAGTCTTACAGATGGTACCATTATTTTATGTGAAAATTTTGCATTTAGTAAAATTAATGATAATGATATAATGATAATAGGTAAAAGATTTTTATATAGAAAAGATTTCTTGCCCTCATCATTTCCATCATCTGGACTTGGTTGCTTTCATGTCTATGGATTGTCATCATTAAAATGCTGGTCTGTGAATGAAATTAAACAGAAATATGTAGCATTGCCTTTCAAAAATGGTTATGCCACTTTCCCTTTATTACATCATTAACATGTTAAAATAAAATAAGTCGAAATAAAAGAACATACAATTTTTAATTTATTACAAAAAATCAGTTTTCTAATTTGAGTAAATTTTATCGTTTATTTAAAGACAATGGCGTTCAGTATATTTGAGTTTGAAGACGGATATTTTAATTTAGTCTGTACAAAATGGTTGCAAGAAAACAAAGAAAAAGACACTTTAACATGTTTTTGGCCAAATGTGAAAACTGAAAAGTATTTCAAAATAGTTAAGAATCTTATTGATCCAGAAGAAAAAAATGGGATAAAGTCAAAGTTATTAAAATTTTAGGTTGTTATGGTAAGAGAAATTATTAAATTTGTTTATTAAAATTATAAAAAGTTATTAATATTGGAAAAAAAACCTTCATACTATTTTTATTTTTTCTTTTAATTTTAATATTTGCTTTTCAGACTCATATGACAATGCTCGTATAAAACTAAAGGATGCTGAAATTCAAACAGATATAAGCACTGATTCTGAATTAAGAGGGAAAGGAAAACGTCGAAGAAAAGCTATTCACAGATACGGTTTGATACTGATGTAGAAGGTGATGTAGAAGATGATGTAGAGGATGATGTAAAGAATAATTCAAAGAGAAAAACCCTAAAACAAACAGTGCATGCAAAAAAAATTAACTTATTTGTTCCTAAACCTCCTAAGGAACTAATGCAATTTCAATATACTACTCCTCAAAAAGAAAAAGATGCTATAAAATCAGATTTTTGCTCAAAACAACAGTTAAAACAAACAGACAAACAAGTGGCTTCATCTGTTAGATATGAATCAATAAAAAAAAAGAAAAATTGTGATCTTGCTTCAGAATGTAATGATTTTAAAATGAGAGAAAAAAGGGCTGCTTGTACTATCGCATCACCTTTTACATCTATGAAGAAAAATTCTGTTTTCATTTCAAGATCTCATAATTCACAAGAGGAAGAAAAAACAGCTGTTGGGTCACTTTCTGAATTACAGCAATTAGAAAAGTCTGATAGAAATGTTGCTTTGTTTCCTCCAAGTCCGTACAAATCATGGAAGAAACCCAAAAAAATTTCTTCTGCTGCTAAGTCACTTTTGTTTGAATCAAAATATAGAGATAAAAATGATGCTACTTCAAGATTTTTATTTCATGACTTTAGAAAAAAAGAAAAAAAAGCTGCCTCAATATTAACAACATTTCCTAAATCTAAATCATTGCATGAAGATGAAAATGTTTTTGTTTCAAGAGTTAACAAGTCAAGAAAAAAAGATAAAGTCATTTCTTCTACAACAATAAGCCCACTTCGTGAATTAATGGATGAAAATACTTCTATACAATCTCATAAATCACTTCAATCAATCACTAAGTCAACTTTAGAAAAAGAACCATCCTCTAATGAAGTATTAGAATCTATAAGGAATATGTACGAAGTTAATACAGCAGGTTATTTCACGATACCTTACATTAAAGGAACTTCTGATAAACTTACAAGTAAAATGAAGAAACACAATCTTAATTTAGCCTTTTCATGTAACAATAAACTCCATAGAATCATAAAAACAGGAAAAGACATCATAGACTCTATGAACCTTTGTGAGTAGATTTAGACATAGCTGTTAATAATGATGCATTGTCACTTGAGCCCACTTAAAGCGTAAATATATTTACAAAAGGTTAGTTAATATAATTTTTTATAATTGCTTAATTTTGAAAAAAATTATAATTTTTTTATTTTAACAGGCCGACAGGGTTTACAACTGCAAAAACTCTTGCAGAACGATGAATGTGAGTGATATAGAAAAGTTGGATTTTTATTATTTTTTATTAATATAATATGTTCTCATGTAACTTTCAAATTTCAGATTTTAAGAAATTTGTTATATCGAAACTGCTTGAAAATGCATCACATCGAAAACAACTTCAATATTCTTCAATGAAAAAGCATGATCAATTATATTTTGACAATCTTCCATATATTGATAATGTGGAATCTTTAATGCAATTTAAATAATAAGTTGAAAACTGACGAAGTTTACAGGAGTAAAGTGGTAAGTTCAAAAGCCTCAGCTATATTATTTATTGTTTAAAAAGATGAAAAATACAGACTATGTTTATACGTCATCCTTAATCGGGTTTAAACATCCATAGTTCTACAATTGGCACAGTCGTAGCTATTCCTTCGAAAAATGAAATGACTGTGTTCGAATCTTAGAATTATGAATATATTATTATAAGGATGATGTATAAACGTAGTAATGCACTTGATACGTTCTTTTCCTGAACTTTTCATTTGATTAATATTTTTTTAATATTTTTCAGATCTTGATGATGGCCAAAGTAGGAGGAAAACATTATAAAAAAATTTCAATGGCAATTTTGAAAAGAATTATCCATTGCACTCTTGCAAAAGAATATAGTTGGAATGGAGGAAAAGGCAAAATGCAATTCTGTGTTCTTAAAGGATTAGTGAATGCTGTAATTTGTAAGTTTTTTTCAAGTAATTTAGATATTGTTGTGTCCGCGGGTAATAGGTTTTGGACGACTCAGGAGCGTAATAAGATTTTTATTTTTATTTTATTAAAATACTGAAAATAGTTGAAATATAAACACAAATTTCAGTTAATTTGAAACAAGTGTACAATAATTGAATATTCTGTTTTTGATAACATTTGCATTGAAAGTATTTTCTCGATTAATCGCTAAACTTCAATCAGCCTTCAATTGATATTCATAATACATATTTTTTTGCGATAATACTAATTTTGTTTTTTCTTTACAAGCATGTATTTTGTAATTTGATCTACTTTTTTAATCCTCCTTTTTAATCTTTTATTTCATCAAAGATATTAATTACTTTACATTTTTATATAAAGAAATATTTCTTTGTAAAACGAAAATTTCTAAAACACTGATTATCTTAATTTTTTAAATTATTTGTAGGTGCAACTAGGCATACTAAACATAAGGTATAGCATTGGCAGCTGATGCAACTGAGAAAGATATTATTGGAAGCATCAAGGAATTTCTTCGTCAATCAATTGGTCGAGCTAAAACGTAAATATTAACTTATATCAATTTTTTCTATGTTTATTTTTACTTTTATTAATTTTTATTAATTTTTTGACAGATGGAAATCAAAGCATAAAAATGAAAGAGATGAAAATCTTCACAGCCATATATCTGAAACCGAAGAAGCTTTCTCTGCCATAAGTAAAAGTGAAGAAGATGAACAAAATGAAACTAATACTTCCATTGATTCTGAAAATAATAATGACGTTTATGATGAAAGCAATAAAATTTCTTATCTTGAAAACTCGGATGATAAATCTTCTAACTTTTCAACATTAGAAGTTAACAATAACTTTTAAAAAACTATATAAGTATATATTGCTCTATATTTTATAAATAATTTCTTTTCTACACAATACTGCAATACTGCAACCGATTTAAACACATTACAGTGATATTTTTTTTAACATTATTATTTGAGACAAAATATTTAGATGGTTATTTTTTTGTTTTATTTTTTACCATCGCAAAAAAAACAATGTTTAAAATAAAAACTTTTCGCGCTTTTTGTTTTATTAAACGATAAATATAAAAGATAAATATATTATATATAATAAGATATTATTGTAAAAAGTATTACCATTAATTAAACAGATTTGCTAATATATAAATGTTAAAATAATTATTTACATATAATTTTCTTTTCTTATATGTATATATATATACAGGGTGATTCAAAATAACCTGATGTCCTTGCAATGCCATATTCTTGAACGAATTCTGAGACAATTTTTCCTTTTACAAAATTTTGTCCAAAGTTTAGTTTTCGAGTTATAATTGAAAATAGATAGCAACTTACGAGTTCGGTACAACGGGCAGGCAGGGACGCGCAACGTATAATGAGACTGTCAAGTATTTACTATCGTCTCATGACACATTACACGTCCCTGTCTGTCCGTTGTATCGGACTCATAAGTAGC